TTACTTAAGCTTTCTCCTATTTTGACATATTAAAAAGTTGCATTTTTGTCTTAACGTAATAAAAATATTTTTATTCAACATTCACCATCAGTGCATGCTGAATGTCGACATTCGCCGGTGTAAGTGAGAAATAATGATATTTAGCAAATATTTCGTACATACACGAAACGACTGTGTGAATGCTGACATTCACCGGAGAATGTTGACATTCGCCAGATATCGGTCATTCACAGTAATATATACATTATTTTTTAATAATTTTTTTTATATTTGGAAAGTTTGGAAAATGATAGTTCATATACAATATGTATTTAACTACCGGTAAGTTGTTCATCGATTCCTAAAAGGTCGATATAGATCACGTTGGAAATCCCTGGTACTGTACAGTACATTTAGGAGATAAGAGGATAATACAGCATAGATTGAATATAGAAATATACAATGTATATTTTCACTAATTATTTTAATACATCTATAAACCATATACATTGAAAGCTGTAATCGTGCTTCAGACATGCTATGAGCTTCGTCTGGGAGCACGTCTATAGCCTAGTTAATTATCACAGAGCATTTTCCACGCAGAATACGACGCAGTGTAGGTAAAGGATACTAATTTTATATATGATAAGTTCATAAGTTTATTTTCAATTTTTATGGAGATAGAGCATTTTGCCTTTAGTAGCACCAGTCGCCATGCACATTGACAACCCTTCTCAAGAGACCAAAATACTCGACTCGTATGAAAGATGACGGCATAGAAAAAGTCGTACGTCTCAAAACTTTTATTCGATTAAAATATTTAAAGGGGAAACGGTTGAACATAGTCAAAAATGCTGGAAGAAATTATGTGAAAGTTTTCTACCCGTTATTTCTTTTCTCCTCCTTCCGACTTTACCTTACACTACGTTTGCTTTCTCTCTTCAATACATTCAGCATCAAATTTTTCTCTTGTTATTAATGAACGCTAAATATGAAATTTATTTCTTCAAGTATTATATTCGAATCGGTTCGATTTAGATATTTCGGTCTAGTGTCAAACGTTTTATTGTTTTTTTCCCCTCCTCCAAAACAGGCTCATATAAGGTATGCCCATTACTATTGCTTCCCTAAAAATACGATTTTTGAAACTACAAACGAATCTGCTGAAATATAAGAACGAATTAAAACGTTTTTAATATTTTTTTCCTTTCCATTTTATTAATTAAACGAAAGTTTGAAAATTGAGCGTGTTTTCGCGTTTTAAGATTCGCGTAAGAATTTAATAACGTTCGTTTAACGAAAGATTAAGTATTAAGACACTCGACTAGATACTTTATAATATATGCATTTTATTCAAATTTGTCATAGAATGTCCGCAAAATTGTCATTGTGAATTTTTATTGCTGCAATTACGCTTAGTTGGCAACATTGCTGCATTGTCCGCGAATGTTTCGATCCGACATCCATGTTAGTTTTGTGTTTGTTGTTGTCTTTCAAATCATTTTTACATTTGTTTCATTTCCAAACTTTCCAGAATTGTTATAAATTATATTAGAAAACATGAAAAACTAGATATGTGTCAGTCGTATTTTTAACAAAAAAAATATATATATATAAAAAAATAAAAATAAAAATTATCGCGGTAAGTATAGTTTCGAATATTTACTTACAACATCCTAAATCACTATTATCGTTATAATCTTTTGCAAATTAGTAAAGTTTACAAAAGGTTTTGCATGTAATACTATAAACTTCTGTTGTATACGTCACGAATTTCAACATTGAATATGTTTTTATCCATTATAAATCTCTATTGCTCTATATTGTAAGAAAAAAAAAACAACAGAAAATGAATTGTATCATTAAATTAAACCTTAATATTTTATTGTATAAATATTTATTTACTTAATTGATAAGAATTACTATTAAAAAAGGATATAATGAACATTTAAAGTATTGTATATCAGTTTGTTATTGTCTATTTAATATTACAACACTTAAAGTGATTGGATGTTTTCATTTAGCTTAAATATGTTGTATATTGTTGTAATGTTTAGGCAAATGTCAATAATAATGAGTAAAGATCTTATATAACAGCTAATTTAAAAATTGTAAACGTATACCGAATTACTTTACTTTTGCCGGAGTATAAATTTATAGTTATTAAGGCTAATTTTTAAAAAAATTTAGATGTTTAATATGTTAAGTGTATCTATTTCTTCTTTTTAAATGAAAATGAGAAATTTTGAGTCTTTGAATTGATGAAATAAATATATTGAAATTATTTGCAATCTACTTTGTATATTATGTATATTTTAATAATAATATATTATACTTCACTAATGCTGTTTAAAAATTTACTTCATAGCTATTTATTTCATTAGAAGAATATAGTATTATTTAATGTAATTCAATAATTTTGGTTAATGTTTTTAAAAGAAAGGATAATGATGTCACTTTGTCAGAATGGATGTTTTCTGAATGAATGGAAAGACTATAGATGCATGTTTGAAAAAAAATCTAGAGGAAATTTTCTTTATTTTAGATACACTGACTTTTCGTTTTTGAAAATATAACCTTATTGATGAACAGTTAACATATGGATATTATAAAAGTTGTGTGTAACATCAAGAGTTTTTTAATATGCATATCAATTGAATTTACATATGTCATACACTCTAAAAATAGAACATCTTTGTTAAGATGATTTTATTTTATTGTAAGGCATCTTTGTTCAATTTTTTTTGTTATCTTAAATGTTTTTATATGTAATCAAATTTAGTTAAGGTATACCATGAAAAATTAACAGTAAATGATAATTATCTAATTAACATTCTGGTATTTCTTACATTATCAAACATTTTTTGAAATTGGATTTAAAATTTTTTATGATTTTTTATACAAAATTAAGAAAAGTTTCTCTTAAAAACTTCTATTTAAAAGTTTTATATAAAAATAACATTTTTTTTATTTGTTATTCAATCTATTCTTTAGAAATAGTTACTCTAAAGGTTGCAATAGTTATTTAATTATTAATAAAATAATCTATAATTTTGGAATTTTGATAACTTATGTAAATCTAGTAAAGATAAATTCAAATCAACCTAAAGTTTTAATTATTCAAACAACTTAAGCCATATTACATTTGTGCTGTAATAAGGTTAATTTAATTAGTCTTATGATAGTCAGAATGTAATCTGACTAAAGTCATTTAAGTAATTCTATTAATCCAAATAGCAAAGAGTTTCATTGATCAGATGTAATAAATATAACCAAGTCATCAACAATAAAATCAAACAACAGTCAAAATTCTAAATTTGAATTAAAAGTCAGTCTTTTTAAGAAATTTATAGAATGCTATACATTTTCATTATCCTCATCATAATAAATAAAATGATGATAAATACTGTTAACTATTATTGTAAAGCTGAATTGTTCTATAATGATTGCTTTATTAAATTTATTTTATTCTAAGTTTAGATCCAAAGATATTATCATTTAATGTATTGATTAAGTTATTTTTTCTTCAGTTTATTTCTTTTATTAAACTGATAAGGGTATTCTTCTTTCTTGTTTAAATAATCGTAGTTTGTTATGTGTTTGTTAATATATATATATATTTTCAGAGATAAATGAAATAATAACCAAAAATACTAGCGTTTTATTATTACACATCTCTGTACTCCTTAAATTAATTGATTTAATGAATTTGTTACTAGTGGCAGGCTAAGTTATCATGCTTTTTCATAAGAAATATAATCTGTATATGGTTATATGATAACTCAAAATACTTATTTAGAAAAGAGTTTGATTTAGAGGGCTTAGTAATGTACACTGACTTACAAAAGTTGAGATTTTGAGCTTCACTTTCATTCAATTTTTTTAGGCATTCCAGAATTATTAGCAAAAAATTAACTTATTAAAGTGTTAAAATTGTTAATTGAAAATTATTTTAGTGATAATTTATTTATTAAATAATGAATAATATCCTGGTAAAATTTTCCCTTTTTTAAGGTTATTTTTGTAATGTTTTAAAACTTAAAGAAAAAGATTATAAACTTTATTACTTTGTAATCTTTTTTCCTTTTCATTTAACTTTGTGTTAAAATTTGTTGATGTAAGAATTTATGACAATTTGACTAATTTATTTATTTTTAAAAAAGTTCAAATGTGTAGCTGATTTGTTGATAATTAGAAAAATTAATTCCATATTTTATAGAATTTGAACAAAATAAATAAAGATCTTGGGATTAAAACAATTGAAAAGCACAAATTGTTTATTTATGTAGGAATATAAGAAAAAATAAACTTTCCTTATGAAAATTTATGTAAACTTTACATATTTTAAATCTGTAGTCTTAATTAGTTCTAAAATATTATTTTTATATTGTTTTTAGATTATAACTGTCAATTACTATTCATGAAAAGTAAAACTATGAAAATAATTATGGATGATCTAGAATTAGTATTAAAATTTAGATTTCTCTTAATAAATTAGTTTCATGCATATTGCTTATAACATATAAGATTATTATTGTTTGAAAAGTAGGTGAAATTGTGTGCAGAATATATGGGTGCTTAACTGCTTGCAAAATATAAACAAGTGAAAAGAGCTTTGAAATAAAAATGTTAAAGTACATACTGAAAAAAAATAGAAAAGCTTGGAAGTTTAAAAAGAGGGAGAGAATGAAAAATATTTATATTTCTATGATTGTCATATCATATATAAATGTAAAATCTGAGTATGTACCAGTCCATAAAATAGCTCTTTAAAAAATGTTACATAAAAGAATTGTAGCACAAAGGTTTCTAACTGTATCTGATATAGTTAAAAATGAGTTTTATGAAAATAAAAACTATTTGTAATTTTTAAATTTTAATTAATTATGTTAATTATATAATTAACATAAATGTAATTAATTATATTAAATTAGAGTGTAGAAGTTATATGGGATTGATAATTATGAATTAGAATAAAGTCTATTTTTCATCTTTATAGAATTAAATTCAAAGTTTGACACTAATTTAAGAGAAAAGAAGGAAAAAAAACAGGAGAAAAATATTTCTGAAGGAAAAATGACAGTCATGATCAGATTAGAAAATTATTGCTTTTTTTTAAATGATACATTTGTTCAAAATAATTAAATCCAGAATAATATAATAGTACATTGCAGAATATGTATGTGCAAAGGCAAATTTCCTTGACAAGGTCACAAAAATAATGATATTGAAATATTATATGTAAATAGCATAAATGCTGAAATGACAGAAACTCAACAAAAAACAAATTTGATTTATTAAATTAAAACTACTATACTTACTAAAAAGAAAAAGTAGGTGTAAAAATTTTGCCCTGGAAATTGATTTCATCATTTTACTTAAATTGTATTGATGATAAATGGAAATCAATTTCCTGACTATATTCAATGGAATGTTATAAAAAATACAGAGGGTAATCTTGGAATTATAAAAGTATTCTGGAGTATATTGTCAGCAAAGGAATTATCCTTTATTTCCTTTATGACTAGAGGTTGTTCTTCATCTCTAGTTATAAAGGCAATAAAAGCTAATTCACATGTGGGGAAGAAACAGCTAAAAAACCTCAGCTTGAATCAATCAAAAGAAAAAAGGACTTTGCTTGTGTGAATCCTCTATTTCCTGCACTTTAGAATTGAAATTATATGGTGGCCAAGAAAAGGTTTTAAAAAGTGGTGTGACACAACTTTGTTATTACTAAATTTACTGAAATTTTCAGATAACCTTAAGCAATAAGCAAAATTAATAGATCTGATTTTTCAAAATTGATAATATCTCCACCATTATAGAAATAAGACTGGAATTTGCCAAGAATGTGCTTTTTATCATTGGTCTACTAAATTCTGTCTGAAATGGTGTTTTTATACATTGTACTCAATGGTCTAAGGCCATTTTGGAAGACTTGGTTCTTTAAATAACCACACAAAATCTCATGAGGGTTCATTTCATTAGTTTTTTTTCTGTGGGCTGTAGAGTGGCCATTTAATGCCTTGTTCAATGAATCTCTTGGTGATCAAAGCATGATACTGTTCTAAAATGTATCCTGTAGCCAGGAAAACACATCAATAACTTGATGTGAAAGTGTGCCATCATGCATGAACCAGTTGATATTGACCATTTGATGATGTCTTGCTGTTGGTTCAAACTCCTCTGTAAATATTTGCCTTTACCTTGCACTAATAATTTCCATTGATGGATATGGGTTCAATTATGCATTTCCTGTTGAGTGCACACCACACCATTATTCCTTGCAAATGAAGAGGTAGTATTTTCATAGCCCTAGGTCTTCAGTTCTAGTTATTTACATATTCCTGGAGGTAGAAATGGATCCTCAGTACTAAATCAGATCTTGTTCAAGTTAGTTAATTCAATTACCCATTTTGTAGTTGTCACATTTTCAAAGTCTAGTCTGTGTTGGGATATCACATTCGTGCAATGGCTGACAGAGCTGAATTTTGTATGGAAATGGATCCAATATTGCCTTCATGGTCTGTAGAGATGATCTTTTGATGTATAGCTGTTATGAGGCGTTTTTGGTTGATGCAGTTGGAATTCTTCAAAAATTTTTCTGACTCATTTGTCATTCTCTGGGATCACTTATGTTGT